GCTCAGAGCCTGGAGGCTTTACACGCACATGACCCAGCAGTGTGGTGAGGAGCCACGGAAGGGGAAGGGGCGCTGGGCTGGAGCCGGCACAGTTATGATGACGTGGAGGGGAGGCACACGGGAAGGAGATGCCAAGTCCCGTTTGCTCGCAGTGAGCGCTGGCTGCCCCATTGACCCTTTGGGTATCCTCCCCCCACACTCTCCAGTTCCCCCCTCCCTCACAGGAGCTGGCAGGAGTGAAGCACGTAGCTAGGCTAGGGATGGCTTGCACAGTGGCTGCCCCTGCGGTCCTGGCCGTGTCCGGACACTGGCCACCTTGCTGCCCTTCCCCTGCATTAGAAAATCGCTTGGCTCTGCCATGCCTGGAGGATAAGAAGCGGTGACGGGTTCTGTTCCAGAAAGAACACGGCGCATGCATAATAAGCCCTTGCTATCCTCCAGGCCTGGATTTCCAGACCCAAACCCCGCCCAGCCGCGAGAGTAGTTGATGCTACATTAGGAAATTCCACCCTTGATCTCCATAAGATTTTGAAGATTTCTTGGGCTGCGTCTCTGCTGGGGAATATTGAGGCCAGCGCTCTGTCTCCTTCCAGGAGCTCCACAGATCCTGTGGGCCATGAAGTCATCTGGGCACTGGGAGCCGGCTGCAGGGACATCATCTCGCTACAGGTGGCGCCACTCCACCCTTGGTAAGAGAAGCCCTGGAACGCTTGCTCCGCCAAGGGACAATCTAGAGGACTGTTGGGTGGGGAATCGTTTCCCGGGCCTGGGAAAAAACGTTGAGATTTTTAAATAGAATTTCCCGAATGTCCGTCTCGCTCCCTTTGGCTTGGCCTGAAAGGTCCTTCCTGGACTCGAGACGCCTTTTTGTCAAAACTGCCCCTTTCCTGCAAAAAGTTTCCGTGGTGAAGAATCTGCCTCTTCCAAATCCAGTTACACTGAAAAAGACTCACCCAGCTCTACTCTAGAGGTGGGTCGGACCCAAAAATGGGACCCAACCGTTCGGGTTCCAGATCCCAACTTGACAGCCGGGCCCCTCGTGGCCCTGAGCCCAGAGGAGGTTGGGATGAGGGAGCTCAGCTCTGTGTGTTGACATCAAGGCTAAACAAGCCTTTGAGGTGTCTACGGCTACATCTGACGGGGCTGCGAACGCCGCCAAGGGTCCTGACGCATCGGAGATGAAAGGCACGGCAATCCTGAACATCAAACCGCTGCCGGAGTGCCTGGCTGCTTATGTAAAGCAGCCCCGCAGGGCTTGCATGTTTAGAAAAGGGTGTTGAGTCTCACTGTTTAATACATGACTGTAATTTCTCTTGCTTCTAAAATCAGTTTTTTTCTGGCATTAGGATTCTGGAAGTCTCCCCACTTCACAGAGTATAGAAAAAGATCTCTTAAGTGCTAATAGGCACCCGACTTAGAGAACAGCACGGTTATGGGGAGGTAGAAATCAGGTTAGGTTATTGACCTCGTGTCTTCTATACAGCTGAGAAGCCTCCTTTTCTTTCGCCATAGTAGATGTTAGGCAATACCATTATGTACCCTAATTCTACCTAGCGTATGGCACACCCAGATCAAGACACGGGGGCTGTGTCTACACTGGCCACTTATTCCGGAAAATCAGCCGCTTTTCCGGAATAACTTGCCAGCTGTCTACACTGGCCCCTTGAATTTCCGGAAAGCACTGACGATCTCATGTAAAATCATCAGTGCTTTTCTGGAAAAACTGTGCTGCTCCCGTTTTGGAAAAAGTCCTTTTCCGGAAAACTGTTCCGGAAAAGGGCCAGTGTAGACGGCCCAGATTTCTTTTCCGCAAAAAAGCCCCCATCGCGAAAATGACGATCGGGGCTTTTTTGCGGAAAAGCGTGTCTACATTGGCCACGGACGCTTTTCCACAAAAAGTGCTTTTCCGGAAAAGCATCCTGCCAATCTAGACGTGCTTTTTCCAAAAATGCTTTTAACGGAAAACTTTTCCGTTATAAGCATTTCCGGAAAATCATGCCAGTGTAGATGTAGCCATGGAGATTACTTTTCCCAATGATTGGGCAGCGATTTGAGAACTTCAGAAATGGGGCACTGAAGTAGCCACTACTCTGCTGGAAGGAACATCAGGCCCTGTGCGTGTGCATACATGTGTTGCCTTCCGGTGCGTGCTATTGGTTGCAGACTTACTTCTTTAGCTGTCGTGGAGGTAGCCTGCATATTGAAGCAGAAGGTCACGAGTTCTCTTCCCAATGCCGGAGGACTGTGTTTCAGTGATATTACAGCAAGTGGGATAATTGATCAATTTCTTATTTTTCCCCCTTCCTCTGCAGCCAGCAGCCGACCCGTTTCAGCAACCGCTGCCTTCAGATGATCGGCCGATGCTGGCCACATTTAAGAGCGCTGGGCGTCGGCGGCGCGGGCTGTGGCATTCAGGGACTGGCTTCTTTAGGTAAATGCAAACGGATGCTCTTTTGCGGTAGAGCAGAGGTGGAAGGTGATTTGGGTGCCGGGCGCGTTCTGCGGAGGGAGCTCTGTGCTGCGGATGTTATGTATGTTGTGTGATACGTCTGTGTTCAGGGAGTTCTCTGATATTCCCCGAGCACCACAAAATTTCCACTCCATGCATTTAGCTCCGGTGGGTGAGTCTCAAACATTTCATAGTGCGGGCCATGTCTTGAGAGAGAGTGCTACATAGGCCCCGCCTCCCCTCCTCTTTTGCCGACACATGGGCCCCGCCTCCCGTCCTCTTTCGCTGACACACAGGCCCCGCCTCCGATCCTCTTTCGCCGACGCACGGGCCCCGCCTCCGATCCTCTTTCGCCGACGCACGGGCCCCGCCTCCGATCCTCTTTCGCCGACGCACGGGCCCCGCCTCCGATCCTCTTTCGCCGACGCACGGGCCCCGCCTCCGATCCTCTTTCGCCGACGCACGGGCCCCGCCTCCGATCCTCTTTCGCCGACGCACGGGCCCCGCCTCCGATCCTCTTTCGCCGACGCACGGGCCCCGCCTCCGATCCTCTTTCGCCGACGCACGGGCCCCGCCTCCGATCCTCTTTCGCCGACGCACGGGCCCCGCCTCCGATCCTCTTTCGCCGACGCACGGGCCCCGCCTCCGATCCTCTTTCGCCGACGCACGGGCCCCGCCTCCGATCCTCTTTCGCCGACGCACGGGCCCCGCCTCCGATCCTCTTTCGCCGACGCACGGGCCCCGCCTCCGATCCTCTTTCGCCGACGCACGGGCCCCGCCTCCCGTCCTCTTTCGCCGACACATGGGCCCTGCCTCCAGGGCATATGGGCCCCTCCACCCTCCCATAACAATTCTCATGTTCCTAACCACAAAATGGTCAGGCAGCTTCAAGCCAGATCCCTCCTACAGTTGCTTCCCCGCCCCTCGCCGCTGCCTCTCCCATGGGCACCGACTGAGCCAACCCCCTCTTCTTTGTCTCACCAGCTCGGAACTGCATGCGGCTGCAGGTGCTGGAACTCGACCACGTGACGGAAATTAACCAGGAGGTGGCGGCGGAGGTGTGTCGGGAGGGCCTGAAGGGCCTGGAGATGCTGGTGCTGACCTCCACGCCTGTCACCCCCAAAGCCCTGCTGCACTTCAACAGTGAGTAGCGACCCAGTCTGGTCCTCAGCCCCTGCCGTTTGCCAGGGTCTCTGAGGTCCAGAGCCCTTCATTGCTGTGGTTTCTGGCAGTGGGGAGCAGGTGGGTGTATCGCTTCCAGCCTGAGCCGGCTCGGCGGGACGGGCAGGCCGAGGTGGTTTTGCTGGCATCCTGGGGCATGTGGGAGTTTCTTTCCAGAGAAAACCTCCTAAGGGGCAGGATTGGAGGGAGCTAGGACAGGCCAAGATAAACCTTTTCGTGTCCAGGGCGGGGTTTTCAAACACTCCTGAGCCAGGGGCCTGAGATGCCGTGGCCACCTCGTGACCACCCCCTCGTAGCCAGAAGTCGCTGTTCCGGGTGCCCTGCCTCAGTTTACCCTTTCCAGAGCTGCTTCAGTAAACTCCACCACTGCAGAGGCTTTAAAACCTTCCCGTTCTGGGTCTAACGGCTGTAGCTATTGTTCACAGCAAGACTCCAGGCTGGGGCTTCTCCCTCAAAGGGAGCCTTGTCTGCCCTCGACCACGCCCCAGCTTTCCTCCCTGGAGTCCTATGCTCCTGGTTCACCCAGGAGAGGATGTGGCCTTTCTGCTTCAACCTGGTTCTTCCCTGCTGGTGCCAGGCTGCTCCCAGCCCCCCCTGAAGTCTCCGTCTCACCGACAGCTCCACTCCGCCACGTCTTCCTCCCGTTCCTCTCTGGCTCTTCATAGGGTATGTCTACACTACAAAGTTAGTTCGAACTAACGGACGTTAGTTCGAACTAACTGACGTTAGTTCGAACTAACTGACGTTAGTTCGAACTAACTGACGTTAGTTCGAACTAACTGACGTTAGTTCGAACTAACTGACGTTAGTTCGAACTAACTGACGTTAGTTCGAACTAACTGACGTTAGTTCGAACTAACTGACGTTAGTTCGAACTAACTGACGTTAGTTCGAACTAACTGACGTTAGTTCGAACTAACTGACGTTAGTTCGAACTAACTGACGTTAGTTCGAACTAACTGACGTTAGTTCGAACTAACTGACGTTAGTTCGAACTAACTGACGTTAGTTCGAACTAACTGACGTTAGTTCGAACTAACTGACGTTAGTTCGAACTAACTGACGTTAGTTCGAACTAACTGACGTTAGTTCGAACTAACTGACGTTAGTTCGAACTAACTGACGTTAGTTCGAACTAACTGACGTTAGTTCGAACTAACTGACGTTAGTTCGAACTAACTGACGTTAGTTCGAACTAACTGACGTTAGTTCGAACTAACTGACGTTAGTTCGAACTAACTGACGTTAGTTCGAACTAACTGACGTTAGTTCGAACTAACTGACGTTAGTTCGAACTAACTGACGTTAGTTCGAACTAACTGACGTTAGTTCGAACTAACTGACGTTAGTTCGAACTAACTGACGTTAGTTCGAACTAACTGACGTTAGTTCGAACTAACTGACGTTAGTTCGAACTAACTGACGTTAGTTCGAACTAACTGACGTTAGTTCGAACTAACTGACGTTAGTTCGAACTAACTGACGTTAGTTCGAACTAACTGACGTTAGTTCGAACTAACTGACGTTAGTTCGAACTAACTGACGTTAGTTCGAACTAACTGACGTTAGTTCGAACTAACTGACGTTAGTTCGAACTAACTGACGTTAGTTCGAACTAACTGACGTTAGTTCGAACTAACTGACGTTAGTTCGAACTAACTGACGTTAGTTCGAACTAACTGACGTTAGTTCGAACTAACTGACGTTAGTTCGAACTAACTGACGTTAGTTCGAACTAACTGACGTTAGTTCGAACTAACTGACGTTAGTTCGAACTAACTGACGTTAGTTCGAACTAACTGACGTTAGTTCGAACTAACTGACGTTAGTTCGAACTAACTGACGTTAGTTCGAACTAACTGACGTTAGTTCGAACTAACTGACGTTAGTTCGAACTAACTGACGTTAGTTCGAACTAACTGACGTTAGTTCGAACTAACTGACGTTAGTTCGAACTAACTGACGTTAGTTCGAACTAACTGACGTTAGTTCGAACTAACTGACGTTAGTTCGAACTAACTGACGTTAGTTCGAACTAACTGACGTTAGTTCGAACTAACTGACGTTAGTTCGAACTAACTGACGTTAGTTCGAACTAACTGACGTTAGTTCGAACTAACTGACGTTAGTTCGAACTAACTGACGTTAGTTCGAACTAACTGACGTTAGTTCGAACTAACTGACGTTAGTTCGAACTAACTGACGTTAGTTCGAACTAACTGACGTTAGTTCGAACTAACTGACGTTAGTTCGAACTAACTGACGTTAGTTCGAACTAACTGACGTTAGTTCGAACTAACTGACGTTAGTTCGAACTAACTGACGTTAGTTCGAACTAACTGACGTTAGTTCGAACTAACTGACGTTAGTTCGAACTAACTGACGTTAGTTCGAACTAACTTTAATAGGTGCTACACTAGCGCTCCGCTAGTTCGAATTTGAATCGAACTAGCGGAGCGCTAGTGTAGCACCTATTAAAGTTAGTTCGAACTAGCGCTGTAGTGTAGACGTACCCATAGAGACCAGCTGTCCCCGTCCAGAGGCTGATAATGAGGCACAGATAGGCTGGGTCAGGTCCCTCCTAAAAGGCTCGGTGCACCCCAGGACAGAGCACGCGTGCCACTGAGGGCGAATAGGGTCTATGCTCCGAAAGTCCCTGCGGCCGTCCTGAGCGTTATGGCCTGCTCCGGTGCTCAGCACGGCTCCCGGGCACCACTCCCCGCCCGTCACGCTGCCCGACGGTGTCTCTGTCGCCCCAGGTGTCTGCCGGAACCTCAAGTCCATCGTGGTCCAGGTGGGCATTGTGGACTACTTCAAGGAGCCAAACAGCCCCGAAGCCAGGAAGATGTTTGAAGAGATGGTGAACAAACTCCAGGTACAGGGAGCCAGGCACGGCGCTCTGGGGTCCCCGGGTGGCTCTGAGCATGGACCCCGGTGCTCGGCCGAAGTCAGTGAAGTGGCCTTTGGGCTGCTCCAAGTCCCGCTCTGTTTCCCAGGACAGAACCGCCCCAACTTGCCGGCCACAGCCCAGTGCTTCGGGGACGAGGCACAGAACCCTCCTGACAGCTGTACCCCAGTGGGAGAGACCCCAGCACAGGGTGATACTCGGGGGACATTTCCACCCTCTCTGTGCTGCCTTAGTGGCATCCCACGCAGAGCCAGGCTGTTTACTTGCTGAATGCTTTCAGCTCCAGTGGTCTCAGGCCTTATTAGCAAAAAGGGTAATAGATGGGCCCATCTTCTCCTCCGTACCTGCTTGGGCAAGGGAGCCGTGTTGTGGATCAGAGCTGGCAGAGAAGCAAGTTCCTCTGGGTCAGTTCTTGGGGGATCAATAAGGTTTATTGTCCATGAGGGGCGGGCAAGCGTTCTGCAGGACCTGGATTCATCTCCAGGCGTTGGGCTTACCCAGAGAACCAACACAGGGCTGAGGAGGAGAGCAAACCTGCCACCTGTCAGCCCCCTGCTCCGGCTGATCTTTGGGGAAACGATTTGAAAGCAGTGCAGAGTCGCTCCTATTTAAAGCCACCTGGCCTGCGCCGGACTTGTCCCTGGTATGATTTATTTGGAGGTGCAGCCAAGGGCTCGTTCAGCTGTGTAAATCCAGGGGAATTTTTCATAACCTGCTATGAAAGGACTGGGCTGCCCTCCTGCACTACACTCCTGGGGGAGTTTTCTCTTTGTCTTTCTCTTCCTCGGTTCTTTTTTCATTCTCTTTTCTCCTCGGGGAGGCTTAATATTTGCATTCTCTTGCTAATGCGCCACAGAGGCTAACACCAGAGAGAAACAATTGCAAACGAATTGAACGTTGAACCTTCCACTGGGGAAGTCAGCCAGGAGATGCAACTGTGTTGCTACAGCTTGGCTACGTCTACACTGGCATGATTTTCTGGAAATGCTTTTAACGGAACAGTTTTCCGGAAAAAGACTTTTGCCCGAACGGGAGCAGCATAGTTTTTCCGGAAAAGCACTGACGATTTTACATTAGATCGTCAGTGCTTTTCCGGAAAAACTATGCTGCTCCCGTTCGGGCAAAAGTCTTTTTCCGGAAAACTGTTCCGTTAAAAGCATTTTCGGAAAAGCGCGTCTAGATTGGCAGGACGCTTTTCCGGGAAAGCAATTTTTGCGGAAAAGCGCGCCTAGATTGGCCACAGATGCTTTTCCGCAAAAAGTGCTTTTCCGGAAAAGCACTGACGATTTTACATTAGATCGTCAGTGCTTTTCCGGAAATTCAAGTGGCCAGTGTAGACAGCTGGCAAGTTTTTCCAGAAAAGCGGCTGATTTTCCGGAATAACTTGCCAGTGTAGACACAGCCATTGAGTCCAGGCCTGCCCAGTGCCAACCCGGGCCAGTGACCTGGAAGAGGTGGGGGGTAGAATGAGGTCCCTTCCAGCTGCACAGGGGAAATTGGGTCGGAAGTTAATTCTCCTTCCATTGGAAATAGATTTCTTACATAACGAAGTCCCTGGGGCCAAATTCTGAGCTGGTGTGGGGGGAGTTGTCTCCGCTCTGAATTTGGCCCAGTTCTCTCCTTGCTGGGTAGCGCTTTGAGAGCTACAGGTGAAGAGTACCATGTAATGAATCGGCTCTACGTTATGTGACAAAGCTCCTATGAAAACTCATGGTAGAAATGTAGCCGTGTTAGTCTGGTGCAGCTGAAACAAAAAACTATCAGTCATGCTTAAATTCGACACTTTACACTCAAATTTGAATAAAGACGCTAATTATCTTACCCATTACAAAGATAGCTTCCCCAATTATCACCTCTAATATCATTAGCTCACAGACATTTACCTCCCCTCCTTCTCCCCCTCCATCCCCCTTCTGTTCTGAAATTTGATTTGTCCTTTTCATATGTGTTCATTTTTTTAAATTGTATCCTTTGGTCTATATGGTTGTGACAATTTTCTTCCACTATTTGATCTGAGGAAGTGGGTCTGGCCCACGAAAGCTCATCACCTAATAAACCATCTTGTTAGTCTTTAAAGTGCTACACAGTCCTGTTTTTTGTTTCTATGAAAACTCAGTGAGTCCTGCCCTTCCTGGCGGATTTGCTTGCCTCAGAGGCTCACGGCAGCCCACAGTTTTAAGCTCCGTGCCTAGGGCTTCAGTTTGCTGTTTGTTGAGCTCTTCTCATCATTGACCAGCGTATCGTAAAATGGAGAATAAACTCCACAGTCCTTTTCCCCAAGTGGAAATGAAGAGGTGGGTGTTGGGAAGAACCCGGTCCCACCGTCTACTGCGGGATCCAGCCCACGGCCCTGTAATAGTAGCTGCCTACATGAGTCCTCGTCGTCTGCCATAAGACAGCACCAAGACCCCTGGGCTACTTCTCCACATTTTCCCCTGCTCCTTGTTTCCCTCCGGTTTGTCCTCCTAGTGTTCAGTTGTCTCCTCTCCTCCTCCTCCCATCAGCGCCCTCCTCCGTCCTCTCAGCTTCACATGTGCCCCTACTGTAGGCAAAGCTTCTTTGTAGCCAGTCTGAACTGGTTTTCTTAATTAGGTGTCCTAATAGGCCTACGCTGGCCTGACTCTGCCGACCTGGTCAGTTAGGCCCAGGTGTTCAACGGCCCCCTTATTGCCTCTGTTGGTTCTAAACCCGTCACTCTGGGAACAGAGATCTCCTCAGTCTGAGGCGTATACATTTGCTCCTCCACTGAGTTTTTATAGCCTTCTGCTCTGACCCTGTCACAGTGAGCATGAGCCACATGCACCGTATCCACTCTGCGGTCCGTGCATTTAACCCTCCCTGTCCTTCTTTTCCAGGCCCTGAGGAAAAGACCCGGCTTCTCAAAGATTTTACACATTAAGGTGGAAGGAGGATGTTAGCCCTGCAGGGAACAACAACACACAACCTCCTCCGTCCACATGAGCCACAGAGACACTGAAACCAAACCCGCCGTCCGCTCTTCGTTCGCCACAGAAGAGCCGACTAACGCACACAACTCGTGACTGGAAGTGACCCGTTCCCTCGCCGGAACAGGGTACATAGCGTGTCGCGCACGTGACGGTGCTACGAAGGTAGCTCCTCAGCCTGCCGGAGAGGGCCTGGCTGCTCTCTTTCTGACTGAGGAACTAGGCCGGAAACCCCGTTGCCAAGGAGCTTTGTGTTGGGGACGTTTCTTTGCGCCCAGCTTTCGTGTCGTGGGAGCTGGGGAGCTCGGTGACTCGGCGGGCGACCCAACCAAGCACAGCTTCCCTCTCCTTGCCACTTGCTGGAGGAGTGTAAGGCTGAGGTGGAGCCGGGCCCCAAGTCGGCGATACGCCACCGGGATCGCTAAGCAACGCCGGGGAAGCCAAGACTCCCTCCACAGACTTTCTTCATGTGTGGCTTGACTGAGTCCCAGCTCCCCTCTGAGCTCCGTTGCCACAAGGAGGTGAACCAAGCCCCAGCATTACTGTATATTTTACACTTTTTAATTTATCCCACATGGGTAAGTGCCTCCCTCGAGCCAGCAGCCACAACAGCACAACCACTGCAGCCACCAAATGCAAAGCTCCTTCTTCTCTTGGCCCATGGGGCACTTTGGGAAGCTAGCCGGCAACACGCCGGCTAGCCGCGCCTTCACCAAGGACATCCATCCAGCCTCGTCTCCTCTGCGCCCAGCGAGGAAGCCAAACTCCCTTCCTGCAAAGGCAATAAACCGTCTCATCAGGGGAACTACGTGGCGTCTGCTGTGCCGTCACAAGCATCCCCTGGCTCGCCCCCAGGCGTCCATCTCCCACGCAGCAGTGCCTGCTGGGGTAAATTGCCCGTGGTGGACGAAGAGACGGACAAGTGCCTGGGAGAGGAGCCAACGTCGCCCGGAACACAGACAGACTTCCGTCGCGGCACATCTCTCCCCAGCCAGCTGTAAGTTACACACACCCTGTGGCTGAAATTCTGGTCCCCAAAGATCTACAGTAGGTAACGAAGCCCCCTGCCTTGATCAGTGATGGCGGCCCTTGAGCTATTCTTTACACGCAGGCACCATTTCGTACCACACCCGCTCTTTTTGCAAACGTTGATCTTATGACTGGGGAGGAGAACTCGCTCCCTCCACGGGAAACAGCTTCTTGAGTGTCTATGTCACTTTACCCTCCGCCTCCAGAGAGAAGCAGCCGGCGGGTTTCCATGCCACGGGTGACACCTATAGGAGCGCTGCTCTCACCAGGGAGATGCAACCGCTCTGATCTTCAGAAAGCAACAATCGCCCTGCAGGTGCAGTCAGCGCTCGCGCCGTGATCGAGAGCCCCGCTTCCTTGCCGTAACAAGGGATGGTGCGGTACCCGGGGTGAAAGCACCGTGACTTCTGGAGGCAGAGAAACTAGCTGACCTAGGTGGTGGAGGTGGGACTTGTCTGGGCTGATATTAAGAAGCCATCAGCCACCCAGGGTGGGACTTTGGCTGGTTTGAGTCTCTCGCAGGATAACGGGTGTGGTGGCAGTTCCAAACGCCAGGGGCACCTTTCTCTTCCATCCGCCTTTCGTCAGGTGACCAACAGGGGTGGCACCTTCCCCTTTGTAGGAACAAAAAGATGGTTGGAGGCCTTCTGGGCCAGCAGGACTAGCTGTGATGAACCAGGACAGCTTCCTACACACTGGTGTGTCATGAGAGCACCAGTCTCAGAAGTTCAAGAAAGAATCTAGGTGTTAATCCAAGACCAGCCCAAACCCACTTCACCCCTGGTTATCTCCGTCACACGCACCCTACACTTCAAGGGCAGGCTTTCAAAATCCCAAACCAGATCCTGCTCTGAATTTTGCAAACAGGCTCTCCCTTTGTAACAAGCTGAGCCAAACTCCCCAATCAAAACGCCCATTTTTGAAATCCAGGGTGTTTGAAATCCAGACCCAGTCTTTATGGGGCTCAAGTCAAGCCCTCGGCTGGATTTAATTTGTCCCTCTGAAAGCGGGATGGGTGAGTTAGGGTTTGTTTTTGTAACACACAACTCTAGATCAGGGACACCCCAAACTTCACATGCTGACAGTAGCTTTGCAGGAGCATGGGAACGTCGCTTTGAATGGAGCCAGAGAAGAAGCAAAGGAGATGACCAATCCCAGTATGCAGTGCGCCATGCTGCTCTATAGTGGCTTCAAGTTGGAACCATTGCATGCTGGGATTTGTAGTCACCCTGGGCCTTTGGAAAAATAACCTTGCTCATATTGTTGAACTCCGTAGGGCAGGCCTACCGCTGTCTTCTCTGCCTGGGAAGGAAATGAGAGAGGACTTTTAAGCAAATCCACAGGCAGAGGCGGCAGGAAGGATGCCACAACCAGCAAAAAAAGAGAAGCTACAATACAGAGGAAAGGGACACACGACACAGACCGAAAAGCCACATTTTGCTACCTTTTAACATGAGTCAATCCAAGTGGCCACCGCTCCTGTAAATGGAGCTGTCCCCCCTGCACTGTGCAGAGACTATGGAGTGACCTTAAAAGAAACAAAGTAAGTATTTATTTCTGTAAACAAAACCAGAGAAGATTTTAAAGAAAAAGTATATACGCCGCATGTTTATACATACTCTGTGCTTCAAGACGATCCTATTTGAGCGTCCTGTCCGAAGATTGACGAATCTTGCTGCTAGCACCATTATTTTGCTGTCTCCAATATCATTCGAGCTGCTTCCAATAGCACATCGGGAGGCTGCTCATCTTGTCAGGGGAGTTAGGTATGTTCTGTGGCTAGTTTCTTTCCTGGTTTGGGGGGAGGAGGGGCAACCGAAAACCCTTTGAAAATGTTATTTATTGGTTTTGGAAAAGCCAGACTCTTTTTTTTTTTTTAGTATTTTCTGCTTGTGGGTCACGGTGCAGTGGCGTGTGGTTCGTCTGTGACACATCCCTTCCACGCCCCATGCCCCTCACTCGGCTTCTGTGAATCATGGCAGTGCACCGTACTTTGAATTTGTTACTTCGCTGTGCCACTCTTCCCCCGCCTCGGGGGACAAACAGGTCACGGGATCAAACCCTCCTTCTGACTTTCCCTTTGTGTTCTGTGGAAATCCTTTAATAAAAAAACAACCCCCGGGCGTGCACGCACCCCTTTGGAACCAAGCCAATCGTTGGGGCATATGAAATGAAATTGAAGCCGGTTATATAACTCCTACAGTAACATCTGCAGTGCTTTGAAGTTGAAAAGCACAACAGCCATTAGCTAAGTATCCTCACTGCTCAAGTGCTGAGTTGCATGGTACAAATACTTCAAAGAGAGGCCAATTTTTTTGGAAGGACGTTTTTCATAGTTAGCCTGAGGGACTCGCTGCGGCAGAAGCTGGCTGCGGAGAGAGTCAGAGAACAGGACGCTGCAGTCTGTGACTCTGCCATGACACAGTTGGAGAGGGGCCCGGTTTGGAACCCCGAATCTGAGTGCCCCCAACCTGAGACGAGATCTCATTGCAATGTGGGTGTGAATTGCTGAACTGAATTTGCAAGGCAGGAAAATGAGAGAAATTCCCCTCAGCACGGACTAGCTGTCCCTTGGCTTTGAATATGGGATTCGGAACAGGTGCCATATGAAGAGAGATTAAAAAGACTTGGACTTTTCAGATTAGAAAAGAGGAGACTGGGGGGATAGGATAGAGGTCTATAAAACCATGACTGCTGTGGAAAAATTGAATAAGGAAAAGTTATTTACTTATTCCCACAATATAAGAACTAGGGGTCACCAAATGAAATTAATAGGTAGCAGATTTAAAACAAACAAAAGGAAGTTTTTCTTCATGCAGCGCACAGGCAACCTGTGGAACTCCTTGCCAGAGGATGTTATGAAGGCCAGGACTTTTAACAGGGTTCAAAAAAGAGCTAGATAAATTCATGGAGAAGAAGTCCATCAGTGGTTATTAGCCAGGATGGGTAGGAATGGTGTCTCTAGCCTCTGTTTGTCCCGAGGTGGGTGACAGGGGAGGGATCACGTGAGGATTACCTGTTGTCTTCCCTCCCTCTAGGGTATCTGGCATTGGCCACTGTCAGCAGACAGGACACTGGGCTAGATGGATCTTTGGTCTGACCCAGTGTGGCCGTTCTTATGCCCTTACGGAGGCCAAAAATATTCACACGCGGGTACCCAAGGCTAGGCTACTAAATCTAGACTTGGCTCCTGATCTCCCAAAGATTTACACACAAACTGAGCTTTACTCATGGCTTTGGGAAGCTGCGTCAGTGGCCTGATACGCGGCAGTGCAAAGCCCCTCTCCGTTTAACCGTAGTGACTTCCTTGCCTGGGGATGCATTTTTCTTCATCTTTCTTTTTCCTGTCGCTTACCTTTGCTAAATACATTGGGCCGTGCCCCTCGCCAGGCACATGCTGCAGCTCTGAGAGCTCTGGGTGGCTCCGCCCTGGGGATTTGCACAAGCAAATGGCTACTTTGGGAAATGAGCCAACTCCCCTGTAAGAAATCTGCTTCCCCCCTGCTGGTATTGCACAAGCGGCCAGGGTGCTTGGGAGAAACCAAGGGCTGGGAAGTCTCCTCCTAATCAGATGTTTTAGGTGGAGGTTTATCAATGGCAGAAACAGGGTATTGGGCTAAGTAGGGCAACGGTCTGTACCCACGTGGCAATCCGTACGTAGGGTGTAGCGAAGTCAAGGTGTCACGCCGACAGGTGGAACCGAACATGGGACCTCAGTGCTCAAGACTCTACAGCTTGAGCTGGTGCTCAGCTAACGCTGTAGAGCAAACCCCTTCGCTCTCTCTGTTACGTGGTCTCAGCACCACTCCATGGCACTGAACCTCCCCCAGTACGAGTGTGGGTTACAGAGGGATCTATGTCGCGAAGCCATGGGATATGCCTGGTCTTCATTAACCAGGGTGATAAAGTCAATGGCCGCATTAACTGATTTGGTTTCCCCCATTTGTTTTCCTGTTGCTCACCCGTCTGTTGACTCCCGCGTGATTCGGCGAACGGGGCCCTCTCCTGCCTCGTGCCTTGTCAGTTCTCCCGGCCGGCAGTAAGCGGGTGTGATGACACATCTGGGCAGCAAGCACCGTGCCCTGCAGAAATGATCTGCCATCATACTGAGGGGTAGCATGGGCCCCTGGGCGCCAATGTCTCGTATTTATTGTGGGCCGTTTCTTGTCCCCGAAGTGTAATTCCCCAGCAACTTGTGCTTAGAGGAGAGGGAAATGACTCTGAGCCCCTACCCTGCAAGCCTTCCTCACGTCGCAGCCCCACAGACAGCAAGGACCCGCTGGGTTGTAAGATGTGGGCTCCCCTGTAGATTCCCTTGTGGCTGAAGAAAGGGCTGATTCCCTTTGGGAACGTCGGGACCTGGATGTAGCGTCTCGGGCCTGTTGCGCCACATGCCACGTGCGTCGTGTGAAAAGGCCGGGGAACCACGGCGTGTGTGCAACGGAACTTTCACCCTCCCGCCCGTAGCTTGTGGGTTCGAGGGTGAAACGGACTTCTCCCCCTTGCTTCCCGGTGTAGACAAGGCCACGTGGGGCAGCGGAAGGGGCAGGGGCTCGGCTCCGGGCCGGCCAGACCCCTTTGCCTGAACGCTCTGGATTCCTGCTAGCAGCTGTGCATGCTCAGTCAATGTACCAGACCTAGCTGCAAAACCCCCCCACCCCCAGCTTGTGATGGGGGACGAGGGGGTTCTTTCCACCAGCCTGCCAGCTCGTGCCAGGGACTCTGGGGACGTGAGAAAGGCACTTGGTGCAGATATAGGAGACCTACGCTGACTCCGATGCTAACCAACCCCCTTGATTGTGGGGCAGGTTCCTTCCTTACCGCTGGGGGTTGCAGGGCCAGGAGTGGTGGGCCAGATACTCGTGCCACAAGGTGGCTTGAAGCCACGTGGTGTGCGGTTATTCCTAAGCAATCCTGCTGCAGGGGGTCCCTTCTGGCTGCATGGTCCAGTGGAGGATTCGGGTTCGTCTGCGATTCCTCCAGCTCCCCATGCAATGTGGGGCAGGATCTGATTTCCGGGGGCAGGGACTATTTAACAGATGGCAGGGCCCAGGTTTTTACATCTAGGAAGGCAGGAAACATACAAGTTCTCTCCTGCTACTCCAGCTCATTGTGTTTTTCTCCCTAACCATGTGCCCATCCTGCTCCTTTAATGAGGAGGGATGGTTGGGAGGGAGGGCAGAGAAGCTCTGGGAATCGGCAAAGAACAGGGTTTCCAGCTTCTTGCAGATTTGATTGCCCCATCTCAAAAAAAACCCCTTGTAATTGGAAAAAGGCAACAAACGTGATTGGAGTTTAGAGCAGCTGCCATAGGAGCAGAAATTAATAAAACTGGGACTTTTCAGACTGGCAAAGAGATGACTCGGGGATAGGCTAGAGGTCTATAACATCATAACCAGTGTGAAGAAAGTAAATAAGGAAAAGTTACTTACTCTTTCTCATAATACAAGAGCTAGGGGTCACCAAATGAAATTAGTAGGCAGTAGGTTTAAAACAAACAACAGGAAGTATTTTTTCACACAGCACACAGTCAACCTGTGGAACTCCTTGCTAGAGGATGTTGTGATGGCCAAAACTATAACAGGGTTCAAAAAAGAACTAGAGAATTTAGCTCTTAGCTAACATTAGCCAGGATGGGTAGCAGTGGTGTCCCTAACCTCTGTTTGCCAGAAGCTGGGAATGGATGGCAGAGGAGGGATCATTTGATGGTTCCCTGTTTGGTTCACTCCCTCTGGGGCACCTGGCATTGGCCACTGTGGGCAGACAGGACACTGGGCTGGACAGACCTTTGGTCTGACCCCGTCTGGCCGTTCTTCTATTCTTAAGAAGCCCCAGGTCAGGTTCCATGGTGCTGGGTGCGGCACAGAGAGGGCAGTAAGAAACAGTCCCAGCTTGGGAGAGATTACACTCTCACTAGACCAAACAGGAGAAGAAGGCTGGTAGAAATGATGTGTCTTGTTCAAAAAGGGTTTGATTTTTGGTGACTAGGGGTCACCAAATGAAACGAATAGACAGCAAGTTTAAAACAAACCAAAGGAAGTTTTTCTTCACGCAGCACACAGTTAACCTGTGGAGCTCCTTGCCAGAGGATGTGGTGAAGATCAGGGCTTTAACAAGGTTCAAAAAAAGACCTAGATAAATTCCTGGCGGTTAAGTCCATCAATGGCTATTAGCTCAGATGCTTGGGAATGGTGTCCCTAGCCTCTGTTTGTCTGGAGATGGACAACAGGCGAGGGATCACGTGAGGATTACCTGTTCCGTTCACTCCCTCTGGGGCACCTGGCATTGGCCACTGTGGGCAGACAGGACACTGGACTGGATGGACCTTTGGTCTGACCCAGTATGGCCGTTCTTATGTTTAAGTCTCTGGTTTTTGGGAACTGGAACTTCACATCCAGTTCCCAAGTTGAAAATAGGGTTGCCAGGTGGTTTCAACAAAAATACCGGACACACTTGACATTCCATCCCAATCTATATTCCATCTGATTTAGAAAATACCGGACAGTTCTGTTTTCTCGTTTCTATTTTCTCAATTTGTTTCCTGAACAGAAAGCTCCAATACTGGACTGTCCAGTTCAAAACCGGACACCTGGCCACCCTAGCTGGAAAGCAGGTGTGTCCGTGCTGCATCCAAGCCTGCACAGCCCTTAGACTGTCCATCGCGGACTTGGCTAAAAACCGCTTCACACAGCACTGTGTCTCTTCAACACCCTCCTCATGCAACTAGAGCCATGAAAGGTAGAGGAGCACACAGGACTCCACTGGTTTAAATTAATTCTCCAGTAGGGATAAGAAAGATTAATAGCTACAGCCATGTCTGCACCACTGTGTCTGTCGGTACAATGTATGTCACTCAGGGGTGTGGAAAACACACATGCACGCACACAGACCCCGACAACGCAAGTTACACCGACAGAAGCGCCAGTGTGGACAGCGCTGTGTCGGCGGGAGAGTGTGTCCTGACAATATTGCTACCGCCGCTCAGGGCAGGGGGCTTTTTGTGCCAACGGCAGAGCTGTCTCCTGTCCGCACAGAGCAGCTACACCAGCGACTGTACATAAGAACATAAGAACGGCCGTACTGGGTCAGACCGAAGGTCCATCTAGCCCAGTATCCTGTCTGCCGACAGTGGCCAGCACCAGGTGCCCCGGAGGGGGTGGACCGATGACAATGATCAAGCGATTTGTCTCCTGCCATCCCTCTCCAGCCTCTGACAAACAGAGGCCAGGGACACCCTGAGCTCACACATTGGGGGCTTGCTAGCGCGGACATGGCCTTAGCTCTGTGCGTCTGCAGGCAGCCAAACTCGGCTAGCAGCTCGCTCACACCGCCAGGTGAATCTGAGCACATGGGGGCAGGGATCACTATGTCATGGGGTGCAGGAAGAGAGAGAGAATGTGTGAGCGCACAATCCACCCTAAAAATGTACCTGCAAACAACACCCTCAGAGACTGGGAAATGCCGGGGACTGAGGAATAGGAGCAATGAAGCCAGCAGGCCAATGAGCTAAAGGACTGAGAGATTTGTGCAATAGAATCATAGAACCTCAGGGTCGGAAGAGACCTCAGGAGTCATCAAGTCCAGCCCCCTGCCCAAAGCAGGACCAGCCCCAACTCAATCAACCCAGCCAGGGCTTGGTCAAGCCGGGACTTAAACACCTCTAGGGATG